GACCGAATGGATATGAGAATCGTCCGACAACTCAAGTCGATAAGCAACCTTCTCAACCTTGGCCAAAATTTTATAAGGCCCGTAATATCGAACTCCGAGTTTGGTCGCGGGCCTTTGCGCGGCCGTCTTTTACCGAAATGGCCTCAATTTCAAGTATACCCAATCACCGGGCTCAAACTCTATGTCGCGCCGCTTGCCATCATGGTACGCCTTCATCCTATTGATCGAGCCCTCCAACGTCCGCTTTAGCTCGCGCAACATCAAGTCACGCTTGACCAACTCTCGATCGACCTCATCGTTCACGGTGCTCCCCATCGAGTAACTCACGATCGTCGGCGGTTTGCTCCCGTACACCAACTCGAACGGCGTTGCCTTAGTCGAGTTATGGTAAGTGGTGTTATACCAATACTCGGCCCAAGGTAAATAATTCTCCCATCGCTTTGGAAATTGATGCAGATAGCACCTAAGGTACTGCTCGAGCGTGCGATTGGTCACCTCTGTCTGTCCGTCAGTTTGTGGATGATAAGCTGATCTCATGCTTAGCTCGGTTCCCTGCAATTTAAAGAACTCCGACCAAAAGCTACTCATAAATATACGATCTCGGTCGGACACAATTGACCGCGGCACCCCATGCAATTTCATCACATATTCGACAAATAATTTTGCTATAGACTTAGCCGTGTATGGATGAGTAATTGGAATAAAATGTGCATACTTGGTAAGACGGTCGACTACCACCATGACTTCATTGAACCCATTCGAGAGTGGCAACCCCTCGATAAAATCCATGGTGATGTCCTCCCAAATACGTGCGGGGACCGGCAAAGGTTGGAGCAGCCCGCCTGGTCGACGTGCGTCCGCCTTAGTGCGTGGGCACTCATCACATCGCGCACATCGCCCCTCAAACCTGGCCAATAAAAAGTGCTCGCAATCTTCATCCATGTCCGGAACACCCCGGAATGTCCTCCAAACTTTGAGTCGTGGAAGTTCCGGATGATTTCCTCGCGCAACGATCCCGCATCGGGCACGACGACTCGACCATGATAAAGGAGCAAGCCATCGTGCATGTCATGGTCCTCGTCCTCGTCGTGTCTTACGTTTAGCTTCTCGATCA